TTCCACAACCACCTTGACTCAAACGTTTGGATTGGCCTGGAATTGTTTTATTTCGAAAACTCCGTTAGGAATTTTGAGATACACCCAACTCCCGCGATCCTGATTAATTTTGCCGGGCTTCAACAACACTGTTTGTCCACACGAAACAAGGACCGCGAAGATTCCAGGCCGCCCTATCTACGGCGTGACTTGATGGGAACGCAGAGTCCCAGAAATGGATCAGAGCTTAACGTTACTTCGGTGGCACCATATCTCCAAGGCCTCGGCCAATGATCGAGATGACATACATGTCGGTTGCGCTAAAGTGCATTGTTTGAATTGTTTTGCTGAAGTACTTCACTTCAGACTTGTTGAATCCCAGCTTAGCTCGGCGCTAGTCAGCGCTCTGCTGCAGGCTGGGAAAAAAGTGTAAAATAGAAGTGGAAACATGTGATCCCGGTTTCCTGCCACGTCCACCCACAAAAATTTTGAGGGGGATCCTTCAGCGACTTCTTAGAAAGCTCTTTTTGAGGCTCCGTATTAGGCTTCTCAAAAACTCCTTATACAACTTCTTAAAACGCTGCTTGAAAAGCTCCGTTTGAAGCTCACTTGTAAAGCTGCTTATTAGAACATTTCGTTGGAACTCATGGGATTGAAGAAAGAGCCAATTGAATCTGAATGTCCATGAAATTTGGGATTCAAGTAGGAATTTCATTCCAAACAAGACTTTGATTGAAGTTAAATTGCCATGTAAATGGAATTTGTTCATCTAGTTTAGTGGGAGCTCCTCCCAATCAGGTTTCCAATAAATTAAAGAAAACTGCAATCCAAATGGATTTGGATCAGTCCCCACATAGGTTTTCAGCGTTTTGGCAGATCATGTGTGTGTGTGTGGGAGAGAAGGCTTTGTTGTTTGAGGGGATATATCGGGGAGGGCTTCAACCTGCCACAAAGTGGACACGGGAAGACTTGTCAGCCCTTTTGCAGTGATCCTTTGCTTCGTTCTTGTTGTTGTTTCTTCTCACTGATGTCCTTGTTGTTTTCTTGCCCAGGCTCAGCCACGTCGTGGCAGCGCTTCGTCAACATAATCGCACACTCCTTGCAGGGTCCATCAACAGCCGGGGTCCAGCTATAAAGAGGTAACCGACCAAGTGAGACTCGGTTACCTTTTGACAGGATCTCGCATAAATTCGTCAGCCATCAGCCTGTTGCAGTTAACGATTCCCGGCTTTGGGGCGGAAAGCCAGAGTGTGACACATGAGGCTCGGTCCGCCGATTCTTGAGGACTGATCAACAAGTGAACTCTTGGATGACCATGATTAGTGTAAAGTCTTTCGACAAGGGTACAATTTGGAGTGATCACCCCCGGTCTGAGCCGCGGCTTTACAATCCTCTGCTCTTTGCCATCCCCAATATTAAAAAGAGTCATTTCTCATTGTCCAGCACCATGGTCCCCCCAAATGGGTGGGGGGGTGGGGTGGCCAAATTTCCTCCGTGGGCTCGCACCGCGCGAATGCGCGGCTGAGGGCCCCTGCGAGACCTTCGGCACCTCTCGGCCGCTGAGCTCCGCGGAGTTTGTGCTGCGGCGCTTTGAGCCCGCAGCCCAGAGCTTCTCGTCCCGAACCCGTCGATTCGAGTCAGACCAGTGGTTTCCTTCCGGGCTTTCCCAGAAAAACCAGCCCAACACAGTTTAAAACGGGTGATTCCAAAAGCCAGACACAGCCTTGTGGGAGAAGTAGGGAATGCCAGAAGTTGAGGATAGGTCCTTTGAATTGAGAGAAGTCGTGGGATTTTGGGATTTCCTACTTTGGTACTGATGGATAATATCCACGTGAGGCACGTTGGGATTGGTGGCTTATCCCAGTATTGGGGTTTAAGCATGCAGGATGTTGTCCAGCCCGTGTAATTGGGGACGTTGCAGCCACAAATGGATGCGGTCGCTGTTCATGGAAATGGGCACACCTGACTCACTGACTCAGTTGGGAGACAACCAACGAACAATTGTGTCCTTTGCGCCCAAAACACAATGTATACACTGACCCCTCCTCTTTTTCGCTGTTTTCGACCACAGTAAAACCGCGGCTCGCAATGCCGTGTTTTTCTGCAATCATAAGACATGGTGATGTCTCGCGAGAATACGATCTTGAAATCCCTCCGGAAAGCTGCGTGTTATGAATACAGCCTCGGCTGCGCGAATGAGGTGTTGGGGATTCGACTGCTACGACCAGCCAAAGGAGGAATGGGAGAGATCCGGGCAAATTTTGCTGCATGTCATTGAAGGGTGGGAGGTGGTGTTCTCTCCAATGCCCCAGGATGGGAGTATCGCACTGCATTCTCAGGGCAGAAACCCTTCATATGCGTGGGAGCAACAGGGCCCATGCCCTGTTTTCAGCATTTGAGAAGGACAGCATGGGAACGCGAGGATTGCTGCTTGATTACAGCCCCATCCAGGAATCCACGGGAATCCACAGGAATCCACAAGAATCTGTTTGATCGAACCCATTCGAGATACAGAACACAGGACAATGCCTCCGTGTTTCCTCAAGCCACAAGTCATTGGCTCGTGTCAGATGTGAGACATCAGAGCGCGGTTACCCTTTGCAGATGCTTTTGTCCTTTGCGCTCATCATCGGTTGTGAAACGGGGGCCAAGCCCAATGAATGGTTTCCTTGAATAATGATGGCCATACTAGACTCGTTTGCTGTGAACAACCCTGCATGAACGGGAGCCGTCTCGATTCATGGCAAAAGGAACCTCCTATCCGAGGCGAGGGGCTGTTGGGCGAGTCCCCTTTGTTGTGGGCCTGGTTGTTATTCCAGCGGCTTTTGCCCAACCTGCACGGGTGAGGACTCACAGCGGAGCGTTCGTGAGATCAGCTGGGAGGTGCGAAAAGGGTTGGGGGAGGAGGTGCTTCCGTCCGTTCGATGTCTTCACTGCTTCGAGGTGTTGGAGCCCAAGTGCTCGACGCTGAAACGGGCATCGAAGGGGGAGAGACTTGGCTAGAGGTTAGGATTTGTTCGGGATCAAGTGACCCCCAGAACTGTTTGGCTTCTTGGCTTTCCTTTCACCGGAAGAACGGTTCCAACGTGGTTCAGCTTCCAGTTTCCGGAAGGAAGATTCTTTGCTTCAACAGCTGAAAGCTGGGGGTCTCTGCCTGTTGGGGATGGTTCCTGGGCTTGTTGTGCGCTCCGTGTCAGACACCATGATGCCATTTGGCGAGAAACTGCTTCACCCCAAAAAGACGCCCATTTCCGATTTGCCCTCTTTGAGGGAAATCGCGCGAGTCATATGTTCGCCGAGAAAAGTGGGGGGTGGTGAAACGGCAAACCAACCTCAGCTGTTGCCCCCAACTGAACATGATATCTTTGTCAACAGTACCCCTCCAGAGGGGTCAACAATAGGCAGTTGGGACCCACTCTGTGCTTCAGGGGTTCAACACATGGGTCATACTGTGGAAGCAATATGACACAATCCATTGTATTGTGCACTAGTTGGTAGGTGATTTACCAGTGTTTTCTGGGTTTCAACCAGTTTATCAACCGGTATTCTCTGGATTTCAACTGGTGCAGGATTTTGTGCAACTGCGGTCACGGTTCTTCCTAGGGTAGACTTACACCCAGTGGTTCCCGTTTTGGGGAAATCAACCACGGGCTACCTTGGAGTAGTCCACAAATGCGAGTTCTACAATAATTCCAAAACCTGAAGTGAGCGATTCCCAGGTAACATAACTTTATATCATGGTATTTCGCTTCTTTTGCCTGCGAATGGAAGCTTCTCTTCCAATTTCGCAACGGCTGGCACACTCTCGGTACCCCATACCCCTCTCTGAAATCTCGGGCGATCTCTTGGTGAGGTAATAAAAGCCACTTATTTTGAGATACATTCTCACTGTAATCTGTTGGACCATCTTTGGGTGACCTTTCTTGGTGCAATCTGAGGGTCGTTCTCTTGCCTGTGTGTAATTTCTCAGGCGATTTTACCGACAACAACAACTTCGCTATGCTTTCGGGAATCGCCGCATTACCAAAGTGAGGGTGTCTCAGCATATTGACTGTGGCTCACGCGCCCAAATGGCTCGAGCTCAGGTTTCTTCACATCCGCAAGGGCGTTGCCTTGTTCCGGCATTTTTTTTGTCGTGGGCTCACCGGATTGTTCCGAATGCCAGCTGCTGGGGACGCGTAGGGTTGGTTTTGTACCAGCATGCACCAGTGCCCATTCGCACTCCGCGCTTCCGAGCTCAAGCTTGGTGATGTCGGCCTGGCGATGTCGGCATAGTTTTTTGGTGCAACACAAAGGAATTGTCATGGTTGGCGCCCAAAACCAGGCATGCGTACAACAGTTCGGTGCAAGACATGCTTTTGCCGTTCGCCAAGCCGGGACGGCGACGCAGACGAACACAAAGAGCGAAGCAACATCCGATCCTTCAGAATAGAAATAAGAAGCACAGGGCGTGCAGGACAATTCGCAAATGTCAAACCTTCCAAGGAGCAAGACGTGCGAGCTGCGATTGAGGATGGCTGAACCAGATGATCCGCTGGTGGTCAATGTCGTGGGTCGCCACAAGGACTGCACTTGAACTGTTTGATTTGGGTGGAACACTCAGAATTCGTTCGTTGGCAAATGGGGATTTCTGTGACCCGTCAACCGCTTTGGGGGCGGTTCCGAGTCTTGAAACTCCATAGCCACTCCTCGGGACCCAAGTGGGAGGATGCGCATCAATGGATCGATCAGGAGCGTGAAAACCAGGACCTGCAGGGCGAGTACCACATGCGCCTTGGCTTCGGAAGGCACAGAGAGTTAAGACTCCGACTCTTTGAAGCCGAGGTGTTCCATTTCACGAGTCAATGTTGTCTTTCCGGTGGGACAAATGGCTGCGAGCTGCCATTGGTGGCTGCACGGGAGCTGTCACTCGCCATTCGAAGCGACAATGTCAACAAACGCCTGAGGCAGGGATCGCTGAGCAGAAAACGTCTGAGTGCAGTTTTGTTTCATCTTTTTTCTTTCTTTTAGCGAGGATCGGAATGGTTCATGGCCGGCCAGCCTACCGCAAGCCTGGCACCAGGCGGGGCTTACCGGCTTTGAATCAGACGCGCCGGATGTGCTTATTCTGGCTCTTGCTTGCCATACTTTACTTGCCTTCGATGTGTCGTTTGTGGGGCGGCTCGTGGCGCCAATGATAGATACCAGCAGGGATGGAGGAAATTGGTCAAAGGCCCAGCAACGACATAGAAGCCAGCAGGGATTCTACTAGCATTTTCTGTGTTTCGCCCAGAGCCAAATGCTTTGCAGGACGGTTATCAGATACTGGCCCGTGGCGGATCGCTGGCTGATCGACAGGGAAGGTGTGCAGGAGCGCTGAGTCTGAAATGCGGAAGGGTACCATGTACAAGGTTCCCAACGTGGGGTTCTCTCATCTCTCAAAGCGACACCACACAATCCTTGGCATTTTTGAACCCCCCCAAGAAAAAATGCGCGGAAAGAGCAGAATTATTTTTAAAGACATCACCTTCAAAGCGAGCTTCCTTTTGGTGGGATGTGAAACAAGGGGGAGTACAGGGGCCCTGATTTTAGATACAAGCACTGGGCAACAAATGTTACCACCACACAGGGAACCCAAAGGAGGATGTTGTGTTGTTCAAGTTACGCATCACTTGAAAACAGACAAACACGCACACACACACACATGGTTAGGTTTGAACAATAGGTGGTTAAACATGTTTACCAATGCAAAGACCAAGGGTTATCTTAACCTTGGTTGGGCCTAACCCTCAACCCTACAAGGGACCTGTCCACGAAGTTGTTCTTGGGTCTCCTTTTGGCGCCATCGCAAAAGGATCGCCCTCGTTGTGAGACGATACGAGACCTGCCTGGCATGACACTCCAAACACTTCCTTTCAAGGCCGGGGATTGGACCCTTGAGTAGGATATCTAGACCATCCCCTTTATGATCCTTAACCCGTTTGCCTGCTCTTTGAACCCCCTACTTTTTTTTGTGAACCGTCTGCCTAGGTGTTTGACCCCTCCAGTTTTTTGACCCAAGGACTTAACCACGGATTTGCCTTGAGGAGTCGGACGTGTGCAACGCCTACGCGGAGCAGGGGGGCGCGCGCCACCCCGCGGTGGAGGAGCTGGTGTTGGGGCACCCGGACGTTGGAACCTGGAGACCGCGCGTGGAACGTTGAGAGGGCGCCCTTTTCGGGAAATCGAATGCTCAAAGTCTGGAAGAACCGAAAGTTGAGAGTTGGTTTCCGGGGTGCTTGCATGGACCTCGGAGAGTTCTTGTAACCTTTTCATTCTGGCCATTCGGGGAAGAAGTATCATAAAGAGAAGGCATGGTCCTTGGATCGCTGGGAAACCACCAGCGAAAACAAAGTTCATTGGGTTCGAATGCCTTTGAGACACACCTGGTGTGGATCTGGATCAAACAGTCAGCACACCATCCGCAGTTGGGTGTGAACTTCGATTAGGGACCCAAAATGGACATCCGAATTCGGCGGATTCGGATCAAAGGGCTTTGAATGATCGGTTCCCTGATCCCAAAATTCACAAGGTTTGGCGTGGAACCCAACAACCATTGGAGGAACCTCCTTTTCTTTGGGGGACCCCCCTTATTGGGTTCCTTCCGGAGAAATTTGTGGAGTAAACTGGCGGCTTTTCCTGTCCAGACACGGTGAGGTGGCGAGTCTGGGAGTCCCAGCACCGGCAACACGTCCGAGACCCCGAGCTTCTCGCTGGCATTTTTTGGGAAAAACCAACATCTGCCGGAGCTCCCCTAGAGAAGTTTTCATGGCCCAGCAAAGCGTTTCTAGAACTGGATGGTTCCAAGTCAAACTGCAGGGCAGTGGGTCTTGGGAGGTTTCTCAAAAGAAAAGTAGTTAGTCTTCCCTTTTTTGTTGACACCTGCTGATATTCAGTTGTTTTGTTTCACATCTTGACGTTCAAAGGCTTGTTATCAGAGAAGTCCCCCAAGACGAGATATGCCCCAATACACCAATGATCACTCTCAAACGACCCCATGGATGCCAGCAAGTTACGCATGCGTTCACGCTGCAGTCCAAGAAGCAAGACAAACACATAGATAAGACACCACAGCACAGCACACAATTCAGAACGGCATTCCAAACAGCAGCTCAAACCACAGCTTCAAGCACAGCTCCAAGCACAGCTCCAAGCACAACTCAAGCCACAACTCAAAGCACAATTTAAGACACAAGTCAAGACTCAACTCACAACACAACTCAACACCCACAACTCAACACGCACAGCTCAAATCTCAACTCAAGCACAACGCAAAACGCAATACACCGCAACAAGACAAAACAAGATATCATATGACATCACAGCACAGCACATCACATCACTTCACATCTCTTCAAAACATCACACAGCATCACACCGCACAACTCAAGATACACCGCTCTTGGAGGATCAAATGCTGGCACATTTTGGCACCCATAGTTGTGGAACCTGAGCGTCAAGAGCTTGGTTCTGCTCAAGTTCAGTGACCGCCCGAGGTTCCTTGTCACTGCGGCGCCCCTTTGCATCCAGGCGAGAAAAGGGCGGGACAGTCCCGGTGGCAGATGCAGGCGAACAGGCTTTCCCACGTGTAGGGAAAGCGACACCCAAAGAAGCGGCCAGGGGTGAAGCAGCCAAGCGGCAGGTATGGTTTGAGGTTTGAAGGTCGCTTTAGCTACCAACCCAGCTCAAGGTCGACCTCTACGCGGGCATCTAAGACCTCAGAGAATCTCTTTCCAGAAAAAGCCAATGACCTCAGTGATTCTTGCGGAGCCTGCCAGATGTCAGTTGCCTGGATTTCCACAGTTCCACGCTTCCACAGTTCCAATGTTGCCGAGGCGGTACAGTGTTTTGGATCTGTAAAATGCCCTACATAAGCACCCTTCCCGGGAAGGGGGAACAAAAGCAAGAAATAACATAGGTGTTTTTGTCTCCCGGGGACCCCAACATAGTGGCGTCCACAAAAAAGGGGGTACCCTCAAAAATATGACAGACCCACATGTTCTGCCTCGCTAAACAGGACGTTCTCTGCAAGAAAACGGGGAAACAACATGTTCAGACTCCTGTTTCATATTTAGGCGAGCTGCACATTTGGGTATGTCGCTAAGTGGGGAACGTCACCAAAGAAGAGTGTGTTTCATCTGTCCACTTAAGCCGGCATTGCCCTCATCCCGATGGAACCACAGGACTCATAGGCAGTCGTAGGGGACATTCTGGCAGGGGACCCCTGATGTTAAAAAGCAGGGAGAATCCTCGATCTTGGAACCCCGGCTTTCAGTTTCCCTGTTTCTACAACTCGTAGCCCTCTTTTGGTGATTTGCCGGGAGGCCAGCATGAACAAGAGCATGCGGTGAGTTTTGGGGATACCATGAGGGTTCCTAAAAAGAAGAAAGCAACGATTCACGAAGAATGAAGTAGAGACCTAAAGAATGAACCACCAATGGTACCACGGTCTTTTTTTTGTTTTCTTCTTTGAGCCCCCCCAAAATTGGAGCCGCAGGTCTTGGGGCGCGCCGCGGGCAAGGAGAACTGGGCGCTGAATGGGGAGCCTCTTGGCGAGTCGGGAGGTGATATCAACTAGGTAAACCGGTGGGTTCTGGAAGAAAGGGATCTCTAACGACTCCAACCAAAAGGGGTCTCCGGAAGAACAACTCGGTTTGTGAATTGGAGATCTTTTGTTGAGAGTAAGATGGGTGACCATTCCCCAAAGAGATAGAGTTGCCCTGCCAAGCAGGCTGAGCAAATGTGAAGACCAGAACCAGAGACACAATGCGTTTTGCCGTTTTGCCCATGGTGATGCTGCAGCGGGCCAGAGCTTCCGAAGCTTCGCTCGCTTCGGAAGCCCGGCCCGGAGGCTCGCAGCCATCCATGGAATTCACCAGGTCTTTTTGAACAGGGCTCCTTAAAAGATCTCCATTTTGCCATGTGAAACATGGCTTTTTGCACCCAAACAAAGGGAAATCACCATGTACAAGGCAATGTTGAGGTGTACAATGCATCTGGATCCCTGTTGAATCATGTCAAACTACAGGTGGCTTGGCTGAAGCCAGGAATCCTTAGATTCCTTGCTATAAAAACTCCCATGCTCTGGGGTCTCTGAAGCTTTGAGCTCTGTGTGGTCTAGCTTGCAACTTGGCTCTGGGACTTGATAGGAAGCATTTGGATCACTCACTTCCTGTCGTGTCTCAATGACCGGTCTCTGAGACCTGAACTCTGATCAGCTCCATTGGTTTTGCGGGACCAGGCTCGGTCTTTTCAACTGCATGCGAGATGGGAGGTCTGAGTCCACTCGGGTCACAGCGCTCTTTGGCAACGCGTCAGACTTTGGAAAGGGGCCATTTGAGATTTTTAATTTGCGCCTTGTCCATCATGCCCTTCCTTCTTACGAGCCTCATGTTTCCACCTTAGGGGTGCACCTCCCACGATGTCCCTTGGTGTGAATCGGCCAGCATGGCCGAAGCCGCCGAGCGTGTGACGGCTCGGCCCAAACGCCGCGAGGTATCGGTTGATCGGCCTGCACCAGGGCAAGGTCGCTTATCAGAAGGCGGGCAAATTCAAGCACCTCGGCAGGCGATTCAGCTTTACGGGTCAGGCCCTGGTACGCGGCCAGAAGGGAACCAGAAGGACTGAGTATCTTTGCAGGGACAGCATCACCAACTCTTGGTCAAACGAACATGGATGTTGACGGAGCCCTTTTGGAAAGACACACAGAAAGACACACACCCATTTGAAGACTTGCTTCCACTGGCAACCTGAGCACACATTCCGACGGGACGCATCGGACACCTCTGAGCGCCCCCCCAACAGCCGGCCTCACAGCTCCCCTTTTGATGCCATATCTGGCACTTCGGCGCAGCCACGTCTCCCAGACTGGAAAACGATTGATTTACACGGACTGCCTGGTGACCAGGTGCAGTCTGGCAATCCTGTTCCTAGCACAAAGACATCAGCCACACAAGGTGGGGTACCACAAATACTCTTGAAATACTTCACCAGCAAATATGTCGAAGCTCTATTTGACACTGAGTGCATCGACAAATGCCGAATTGACCTTCAAAGACAGCTGCAAGGCTCAATCGTTGCACCACAGTCTACTTTTTGGCTTGGGTGCACCTTCAAAATAGGGGATCCAGAAAACGCTGGGAAGTTGCATTTGTTGGTTCTTTTGAAAACAACCGCGAGGGGTACCCTCAAAGAGACATACTCATACAGAGATTCGAGCTAGTGAGAGCGGTGGATGTTTGTGTTTGTTTCCGTGTGTTTGTTGCACTTGTCCATCTTTTTCATGGTGCTGTGGTTCTGGGTTCAAGCATTCAAGCTGATGTCCATGTGATGCGCGGTAAAGTTGCTGCCCTCTGCCATGTTGCAGTTACATGGACACAGGGTTTTTGTATTGGTCGGATGTCATGTGGACTTTTTTTTCCTGCATCCGTTGGGTTGATGAATGATCCAATAAGCAGTCAATTCACTTCACGCGTAGCGTGACATAGGCAGCCTCAGCCTCAGCTTAGGCACGCTATCCGAGACTTGGAAGCATAGGGCAGGGCAAAGGATGAGGGCCTTGTCTCCAGCTACTCTGCCAATTCAAAGAGAGAAGAAGAGGGATTCCGGGATTCTCAGTGATTGCCTTGCGAGCGTGTTCGCTGCTTTCCCCGTTCCGGTCATGTCCTCAGGATATTGGAGAGTTGGGGACAGGCGGGCGCGGTGTTTTTCTTCAGAGCGATGTGCGGCCTTGCGGCATAGCGCATCGGTAGGGCTGTCATCTGGGTGAGCTTCCTGTTGGGTTTCCCTTTCAACACTCCAAAAAGAGGTACCCTCAAAAGACACACCCAACGCATATGCCGCCGGAATACAGGGCCGCGGCATGTATGATCACCCTCACCTCTGTTCCCTTTGAGAGACCAATGGAGCGGCAGGTATCCAGATGCCCAAGACAACGCTTGAAAGAGCAACTTCCCCCCTCTCAGTTTTGTGAGTCCGGAAGGGTCTGAAAGGTCTCAAAGCGCTCTCACTCGAGCATGCAAAAGGCGCATAGCCGACGGCTTGGCTGCGTCGGAAATTAGACGGGCTGGCATGCATGAATTACGGGGGGGGGTCTGCGAAACCGCCACGAGGCTTCGGCTTCGGGAAGCCACTTTCGCTCTTGACGGGTCCCCACCTCCCACTTGCCGGTTCGTCGCAGGTGGCTGGTGGATTTGGAAGGCCTCCGGGATGTGGACATTTGCAACGCCTATGCGGACGCGCAGGGCACCAGCTACCCAGGCGGGCAAAGATAGGAGCTTTCCAAGCTTTGGTTCAACATGATCTTGGTATGTTTGCCATGAGACATGGAGGGCGGTCCTGTGTCATGCGTCTTTTGCAAAATCGGCCAATTGCGATCTGGTTGGTGGATTCTCGCGGGGTATTCCGAGAGGTGCTATAGTTGCTATGGCCCGAGCAGTTAAAACGACATGAGGCTTGATCCTGACCAAACATGGGGACAACAGATGCATGTTTTTCTTCTCGGGCTGGCGATGTTTTGCCAGTCCTCGGTGCCGACCCCCATTTGGTTTCCGCTGCTGGGAAACAGCACCAACCCCTCCCAGACAATTCAGACATGGTTCGTGAATCAGGCTACAAGCATTGGGGCGTTTTGCACAAAAGACTCAGGAGAACAGAGAATCAGCTCCATTGGAGTGGAATGGCAGCCACAACTGCTGGGTTGCAAGATGCGCTCCCTGAATGCATTCCGAATGTACAGCCACGTGACACGTTGATCAGCTGCTGAAGCAAGCAGAACGTATCCGAACGAGTTCATGTTGCCCGGCTGCGTGGTGACCATCCTTTTGACTTGGCTTTGACAGTCACTCTAGGCATTCTTTGTGGTCTGGATTGACGGAATGGAGTAGTGACTAGTGCCAATGTTTGAACCTTTGAACCTACCACAAGTCACTTCCAGTTTGTTTGCCGATGCGACCAACGCACCCCACTCGGAGGTCAAATCAATAGAGCTCCGGCCACCAGTTTGCCCACCCCATGTGGATGGGAGCACATGTTCTCCCGTCATCCCGCACGCACTTTGCAATCAGGCGAGATCCGCCTCTCCTGGCACATCTGGGATTCGACCAGGCTGGAGCGGTCGGAGTGGGCGAGTTGGGCGAGGTGCCTTCTGTCTCAGCGAAGACTTTGGCAATCAGGGAATAATGCTACAGCTGCTCTGTACATGTTTTTTAGTTGTGCGTTGCGTGGCTGCAACAAACAAAGCGTTTGCTACAATACCAAGGTTTGGGAAGAATAGATTGCTGTGTGACAGATTGCCACACATTTGATGTTTGAGTGCGCAGGTTGCCAAGTGGCTTGTGTGATCGACTCAAAGGCATGGGTGAAGGACTGGTCTGGGCAAGAAAGGTCTCAGGGACTCCGACGAAAGTTCTGGAGGCAGCGCCACACCTTAGACAGCAGCCTCTGCACCCTGGTGACGCCCTCCTGCATCGAGGTGGTTGGCCCAGACCTCAGCTGAGACAAACCTAGTGCTTCTCGAACAGAAAGTCCCCCAAGACCGGTGATCTTTTGGCTTTCTGAATATAAAACCAACCAAGGGCGAGAAACTTCCGTCTTGTGTGTCTTTTGGAGAGTACCTTATCACACGATCAGATTGAGGGCCGCCGGGTTGAGACCAACCTGATGAGTTTTTTGACTAAAAAGCAACCAGTGGATTATCGTCCATTTGGGAGGAACGTAGGCTCCCAAAGTCTTGCTCGTAAGCTCTTGTGGACACAAGTAATTTTCAGCGTGGCTCACGCGAGCTTGTTTCAATTGATCATTTCATGCCTTTTGGTTTCTCTTTAATCAGGAAGCACCTCCAAAGTGGTTGGTGGAAGTGAACCCCCACCTAAATCATGTCCACCAAAGGGTCCCTAACTGCAATTCACACCCACATATATACTTATGATGGGCAATCAACCAAAGTTCTATGAATGTCCGAACAATTAGAAATACATAAGAAGTACACCATGAGATACAAGTTTGTATTTCGAAATTGGGCGTCCTCGGCCAGTGTATGTGTTTCGCATTTGTGTTTGTATTTCGAAATTGGGGGTGGTATTTGCTTTTGTATTTTGAAATTGGGGCCCTGGACAGTGTATTTTATTTGTATTTTTTTTTTATTTGTATCTTCTTTTGTATTTCATTTTGTATTCCATAATGTTTTATTTTATTTTGTATGTTTTTTTGTATTTGTTGTATTTTCTCGAGGCTTTTTGCACTTCTCCACCTTTTCTGGGGTGTCACGAAATTCTCGTGGAGCGCGCGGAAGTCCGCGAAGCTTTGAACTTGGCGCCGGGATTTCTTGATATTTCTGTGACACCGCTCCGCATCAGCCTCGCGGGGTGTCGCGATTGAGTTCTTTAGGCCGAGAGGCGCCCAAGGAGAACATGGCGATGACACTCGGAGCGAAGCCGAAGCCGGCGGAAGCAAAGGGCTTAAGTCTTTTTGGAGTAAACAAAATGTAGGGTGACATCGGTGGGACTATCAAGATGGGAATGATGTGCTGCAACCAACATTGGGCATATGTTTTAGGCTGCATTCTCTTTGAAGGTGGCACGTGACATCATTTTTTCGGTCTGCATGTGGCATCGTTGGTAGCGGCTCATCTGCCTCGGATTATCACAAGACCTGTTCACATTTGGGTTTGTCCACAAATAGGAAGCCCAAATGAAGTTTTCCAGTGGCTTCCCTGTCAAAACCAAGCAAAAAGGGGTTCCCCAAAAGGAGATAGGCACCATCGGCATCAAATACATGCTGGCACTCGAGCAATTGAGCACAGGTTTCGACCAGCCGTCAGCCGCCTCAAGTTTCAAGAGTCGTTCAATATCTGAATCTGCTGCGCGTTTTCTAAGGAACAAGAAACGCATCCTCCACTGCATACCACAGAAATGAGGCCAATGTACCATGAAGCACACCAGGAAGTACGCCTGGCCCAACCGTATTTGTGTGGGCAAGTAAAGGAGATGAGCGGGAATCAACCCGCAGAAAGGTAGGACCGCGACCTCCACTTTTAAAGGGGAAGTTATGCTTTTTTTTTTGAAAGATCACGCTTTGCTGTTACAAAGTCATTTACAGGATTCTACCTTCAACGTGCTTGGTTTTTTGGCTGGGCAATGTAAACTGATGTTCAGTTGCTTTCATACACCTGATACCAGCAGGCCGCGTTCAGGGCACACATCCAGCTGAGGAACGGCAGCTATCACTTGGCCACCTGTCTGAATCACACCGATGGAGCAAGCCGCAGTGCCCAGAAAACATGTTACCCGCAAAGCTTTAAACATGTGGAACCCAGCAAGTCCTTTCCCAAAACGGACATTCTGATGCCAAGGAGGGTTTTGGAGTTGCATTTTTGCATGGAGGTAGAGCCACAAGCGAAACGAGATGGGTGCTTTTGTTTTGGTTTTTCTCAGAGTTGTCCGGTCGCAGTTTCCTTGAAACATGAACATGAGCCCGAGCCGTGAGATCTGGAGGCATCTATGGTTTCCTATGTTTGGGCCCCCTGGGTGGGGTGCTATTCGCCATTCGCTCCAGGGATTGGAGGGGTGCTTTGTTGCGGATACTCGCGGAAGTCAGTTTGTTGCGTTGGCGAAGGCCCGTGGCTTGTCCTTTTTCTCCGGAAACCCTTTGCGGAGCGGTTTAAAGGGAAATGACAATGACATCCACTGTTTTGGGAGGGTCCTCCATGTTCAGAGACACCTATTTTTCTTGCATGCATGTTTCCACACTGCTCGGCTGGCCGAGCACGCGATTGGTACCGGAGGTGGGCTTACACGCCGGGCAGCCGGCGTACATGAAGGCGGGCGGGTCTGTTTCAGGGGTTTGGTGCCTTCAGGTGTGTTACAGGCGACACAAGTTCGTGGTACTCGGTTGCACGGAACTACCCCGTTTCATGGATTGAGGGTGAAGCTGCAAGCTCCGCCAATTCAAACCAATGGGGAAGCTGATTCTTTGCCGACGAGGGACGTTTTCCATAGAGACAAGGAGAGCTTGGGAGCTCCCCAAGCCAATGCAACTTGCAGAGAAAAAACTGACACAAGTTGAGCATGCTTGAGCTTCCCAAACTGCAACACACACACGCACACACATTAAACATGGAACGCGAGGTTTCCCAGTCATCCCACAAAGCTGGAAGGCTATCTTGATGAAGCGACGAAAAGCGCAAGCGTGCGGTTCCCTTGTTTCTGCACTTTTGACATGCCGGCTCTCCGGAGACTCACTGACAGTGCCATCTTCCGATCCCATGTAGGGCAGGCTGTTTGACGGGACACGCTTAAAAGCCAACCAGAGGCAGGAGCCGCCAATTTGAGGTATCTCCCAAAAAGATGGTGAGCGTGCCCAAAATTGGAGTTTGGTTGTCTGTTGGCGTTTGAAAATTGTCTTTCCTCAGGAGTCACCCGTTTCAGGTGACCCCTCTGCTGAACGCCTTATTATAGGATTGTCGTTCTTCATGGACAAAAGCCAACAAGTTGTTTTGGTTGGTGACATTGGATGCATATTGTAGAAGGTCAAATCAGGCAACCCTCAATTGCTGGTTTTGCTTGGTGGTTTGGTGGTTAAGGAGGGGTTTCCCATTTACCCCCCACAAGAACCAAGGGTTCCAATCCAAATCCAAACCAATCCATAGCAAAGGGTAGTTGACAAAGGGGAACCCACTCCCATCTTCTCCTATTCGAGGGCAGGCATTCGAGTCACTGAGGCGGACGGCAGCGGCCACGCCATCCGTTACTGGCCACGGGAGGAGCGGTGGCTCATCGACCTGGATGGCTTGCGCCATGTCCTTTTGCGGGCTGGGGGGCATGGGGGGCATGGGTGTGTGGTCTTTTTCTTTTGCAGAATACCCTCAAAGAAAACATGGCTTTGGTTGTCCTTTCACCAAAAGCTATCCCAAAGGGGTAGGACACACCCCTAATGGGCGTGTCTGGTTTTTAGGGAGCCTGTTTAGGAGTGTTTCAATCGGGTGTGTCTCAAAATTCGGGGACCAACGGTGGATTTCCAGTCGGGTTCCCTAACCCAACCAAAAGGATTGAAGCACGGAACCCGAGGTCTTTGGTGTGGTCGAATCACCCAGGCTTTTGGAAATCTCTTTTTCATACCAAGAGGTGATCGACCTTTTGCCCGGGCTTCAAGCCAACCTAGAATAGCAAGCGTAATCTTGGGTTGATCCAAAGCGGAGTCCTGATGTGTTTGTTACCCGTGTTTAACATTCTGGTCATTTGCCACCACAGCCACAATCAAAAACCAAAGGGTAAGTGAAGTGGACGGTCCCGGCCAGATATAGGTGTGGATATTTGCCCTTTGGATTCTTTACCAGTTTTGGGTAGGTTTTTTTAAGGCTTTTGTGACTCACCTGGCTCTGAAGGGATTGGTTTTTCGCAAGAAACCTCCCCAGAGAATCGAGAATCGGTCATTCATCACTGGGATCTCTTTTGACATTGCTTTGCAGTTCGAGGTTCATTGAATATAGATCACACTCAAGCAATTACTTTTGGTGATGCAGAACCACCGGCGAATGGAACGGGTCATTTCTTGGGTATGTGTCAAAACCAGAGACCTTTTTTGGAAACCATCCTAGAGCAAACTTTTTGAGTCGCACTTGTGGGTTGCGCGAAACCACAGGTTGACCTCTAGAACCGTGGTCGGGGTCCGCGAGCCCCAACTCCCAAGGCGGGACACAGAGATCTGCAATGCCTACGCGGAAGCCGGTGGCAGCTCGGTCAATCCCTGTGTCCAATCTGATCTTCCGATCAATTCCGAACTTCCGACCATGCTAAAGAAGTCCCTATAAATTACCCCCCCCCAGCCACACGGGGATTGTCCAGCTTAGCATTAAAGTCGGCGAGCTCGCCAAAAGTCTTTCGTGGGAGGTTGTTGACTGTAGCTAACGTGCCAGCAATATATAAACAAAATGTATTATATATATATATATAGCGTGGATACATTGATTCACATCACCTCACATCACCTCACTTCACGTCACGTCACATCACATCACACTGCATTACCAGTACAACACTTTGAAGCACGCATACATACATACATACATACATACATACATACATACATACATACATACATACATACATACAGACACACACACACACACCCACACACACACCCACACCCACACCCACACACACACACACACCCACACCCACACCCACACCCACACCCACACCCACACCCACACCCACACCCACACCCACACCCACACCCACACCCACACCCACACGCCCACGCCCACGCCCACGCCCACGCCCACGCCCACGCACACGCGCACGCGCACGCGCACGCGCACGCGCACGCGCACGCGCACGCGCACGCGCACGCGCACGCGCACGCACACGCACACGCACACGCACACGCACACGCACACGCACACGCACACGCACACGCACACGCACACGCACACGCACACGCACGCACACGCACGCACACGCACACGCCACGCACACGCACACGCACACGCACACGCACACGCACACGCACACACACACACGCACACACGCGCACACACGCGCACACACGCGCACACACACACACACAAACACACACACACACACACACACACACACACACACACACACACACACACACACACACACACACACACACACACACACACACACACACACACACACACACACACACACACACACACACACACACACACACACACACACACACACACACACACACACACACACACACACACACACACACACACACACACACACACACACACACACACACACACACACACACACACACACACACACACACACACACACACACACACACACACACACACACACACACACACACACACACACACACACACACACACACACACACACACACACACACACACACACACACACACACACACACACACACACACACACACACACACACACACACACACACACACACACACACACACACACACACACACACACACACACACACACACACACACACACACACACACACACACACACACACACACACACACACACACACACACACACACACACACACACACACACACACACACACACACACACACACACACACACACACACACACACACACACACACACACACACACACACACACACACACACACACACACACACACACACACACACACACACACACACACACACACACACACACACACACACACACACACACACACACACACACACACACACACACACACACACACACACACACACACACACACACACACACACACACACACACACACACACACACACACACACACACACACACACACACACACACACACACACACACACACACACACACACACACACACACACACACACACACACACACACACACACACACACACACACACACACATACAGCACCTATACATACAACTAGACACATATTTTGATGGCAGAAACATATACCTACACCTTGATATACATATATCTACACATACAACATCCATACATAAAGGCATACTTCATATATGCACCGGGTCGATCGTTGCCCCAAGGTACAGGAGCTCACATGCATCCTGGCCATCTGAATCTTGCCGGGGTCCCATTCGGCTGAGGGCAGCGAACTAGCGAGCCAGTGAGCCACTGTAGGGGGGAATAAAACAAGCCTAAGCCTGCTCAGGACCTGAGACACATCTCAACAATAGGGGCTTTCTGTCATCTTTTCAGATGACACACCCTCCCTCCCTACTTATCAGTGGGTTCCTTTAAGAGGAAACTCATCTTCCAGGTGCACTATCAGGGGTTTCCTTTAAGAGGAAGCTGATCTTTCAGCTACACTCCCAATGCTATGTTGGAGGAGGGGTACGTGACAAACTCTGCCTGGCAGGTGTGGCACGTCTGGGAGACGAGCCGCGGGCGGCACCTCACGGATCCGGCGGTGCGCTCGTCCTTTGACTGCAACTTCTGTGGATGGAGCAAAGCCAGCCAGTGCCAAACAACCAGAGGTGTCCTTTTTGTTTTTTTTTGGGTTGAAAATAGATGGCGATTCCTGGTTGACCTAGTTGCTTCACAATGGGGCCATCTCTTTTCCAAAAGGACGCCTATGCAACCAACAGCTTCTTTTTTTGTTATGCCATTGAGGAATCATGAGTCGTGGATGAAAATGCATCGACCGGTGGAATAATGCGGCGGGTTGGCCTTGTTGATTGATAGGCTAATCCTACAAAAACAAGTCCTGTCCTTTTTATCCGGGAAATTGACATGGCTCGTCCCCCCATGTCCACTCTCCCAAATGAGCCACTGACAATGTTCTGAAATTTGACCGAACCTCATGGATTAAATGTACTCACACATACGTATATGTATATATGTACATATGTACATATGTATACATGTAAATATGTATAGATGTAAATATGTGTATATGTATATATGTATATATGTATACATGTATATAACATATGCCTATATATGTGTACTTGTATATATGTGTATATGTTTTGTGTATACATACATACATACATGCATGCATGCATGCATACATACACGTTTTAATATACACATACACACATACACATACACGTATACACATACACATACACATACACACATACAGATACATACATATACACACATACCTGCCTACATACCTGCCTACATACCTACATAGCTACATACCTACATACCTGCATACATATATACCTACATACATCCATACATACATACCTACATACCTACATACGTACATACCTAGATAAATACCTACCTACCTACCTACCTACCTACCTGCCTACCTGCCTACCTGCCTACCTGCCTACCTGCCTACCTGCCTGCCTGCCTGCCTGCCTGCCTGCCTACCTACCTACCTACCTACCTACACACCTACCTTCATACATGCATGCATACATACATATCTACCTGCCTACATACATACATACATACATACATACCTACAAACCTACATACCTACATACCTACATACATACATACCTACATACATCCATACCTACCTACCTACCTATCTACCTACCTATCTACACACCTACCTACCTACATGCATGCATACATACATATCTACCTGCCTACATACATACATACATACATCCATACCTACATACCTACATACCTGCAAACATACATACATACATACATACATACATACATACATACATACATACATACATACATACATACATACATACATACCTACATATATCTATACCTACCTACCTACCTACCTACCTACCTACCCACCCACCCACCTACCTACCTACCTACCTACCTACCTTCCTACCTACCTACCTACCTACACACCTACCTACACACCTACCTACATACATGCATGCATACATGCATATCTACCTGCCTACATACATACATACATACATACATACATACATACCAGCCTACATACATACATACATGCATGCATACATACACACACACACATACATACATACATACATACATACATACATACATACATACATACATACATACATACATACATACATACATACGTACATACATACATACATACATACATACAGGGTTACAACATCCACGACAGGCATCAGTTGGGAGAAATGAAGCCCTAGAACTACCGAAGGTTTCCACCTCAGAATTGATGCAGGATTCGGTTCATCCTCAGTATTATTAGGGGGGTTCCCCTCCAAACGTGAATTCCAAGAACCTCCCCGGCTGACTTCGAATTCCGGACCCTACCAGTCAGAGGAATCGGGTCAAAATAGATCATGTTCTTGAGAGCAAAGCCTGTTCAGCCCATGTTCACGGGTGTTTCTCTTTTGCTGCGAGTCAAACCCACACCTGAGGATTCCTTGGTTTCAGCTCTTGAGCATGGCCCGAGTGACCAAGTGAGGTTCGTAGCGCCGCACTACGTGCGGATATCTGGCAGAGATCCTTACAAGGAGAATTCCACGATCAATGGCGCCTCGACCGAGCCGGGAACTTCTTGTGCTGTTGGCAAGGGTGCTTTCTGGGTTGTGTGCTGGTGGCGTTTAAGGCAGGCAATGCGTGTGGTTGAGGGTCTTGATGGAGAAAGCAGGGCGAGCAAGATATCATTAGAAGCATCCTTGGAATACGTCACGTTAGAAAGAGAAAGCAGAAGGGAACTTTCTGGCATGTTTGTAGGCAAGGCTGCAAACAACCGTGTTGATCCTTCGATAGCCACCTTGCCTCGTTCAATCAAGGGTTTCCCTTTCAGGGAAAGTTCTTTGTTGTAGTGAGCCGAGATGAATCAAGCAATCAATGATCATGATTTGGCTCGGTCCTTGTTCAAACATTACTGACCAGCTAGGCAATATGAGTTGACTGGCACTGCTCAGTTCGCTGCACGCGCCAGCTTGACTCAGAGCATGAGGCGACTACGAGCTCGCGAAGATTGTGGAAGGCAAGCCGGCGTACAAGAAGGCGCTGAGGGTGGGCATGCGAGTGCCTTGGAGATGGTGTTTGTTCCTTGGTGTTGCACTCGCGTACTGAGAGAACGAGGCACACGGGCCGAGCTGTGGAATCTGATGGTTTCATCCGCATTTGAAGCACAATTCTTGAGCACGCTGTTTTTTGGCCGTCGGGCTCCACCCGCGTTTTCAGCTCGCGAGTGCAGGCCGACAGTGACCACGTCATCCGATTCTGGCCTGCGGAGGAGCGGTGGATCATTGACTTAGAGGCCGGTGTCCTGGCTGCACTTGAGCGCCGCTCCGGGTCAGGGGCTGACCCGTTGGCCAGTCACATACGCTGATGCTGATGCATGCATGCTTGTATGGTATATATATATATATCCGTACAGGTATAACGTGTTCTTCTTCCCTGCTTGCTTGCTTGCTGGCTGGCTGGCTGGCTTTCACTTTTTTCTTTCTCCCTCCCTCCCTCCCTCTCCCTCCTTACATATAAGTCTCTCTCCAAAAGTGTGCACATTCGATTCGGATAAACCAATGCCGCCTCCTGAAAAGGTCGCGGCCAAATCTGTCCTTCCTCCAGGCCCATTCACCAATCGGTTCCGTTGAGTTTGAAGCATCCGAAGTCGGAGACTTCCGAGGTGTGTCCTCACAAAGTTGGCAGCTGCGATGCTTTCAGGGGATCCAATAACCAATGATCGCGAACAATCACCATGTTAACCAATGATTCCTCCAATTGCAAACATGGTAAGCTACTAAGCCACTATTTGCGCAACGATTCGACGCAAAAGCGATAGCGGAGCCCAAATTTCCCGTCGGTGTTTGTTGTTTCACGCAAGCCCATTCTGAGGTTAGCTGTTCGCCCCTCTCACCTCGAAAGAAGGCAAGCCAAGCCCCGTCCGAGGTTTCCATGGTGGAGACGTCGCCAACTCCTTCGCGGATGCGAAAGGCGCCGATGGTCGTTTCTAGACCTCGTTTGAAGGAAGTCCAGGGTCAGGGCTGAAAAGATGGCCGAAAGCAGGGGCAGGGAAAGCAAGTCAGCGCAGCTTGCATGACTTTCTCATGTGAATCCTACGGCGTAGGGGGAGATGCATTTGGATAGTCTCGGAGCTTTTGCAGCACCAACACATGCGACTCCAGATACCGATTTCGGTTGGGCGCCTTGAACGGGTTTTCATTTGATCGGGATGGGTCATGATGCCCGTTGCCGATTGACTCGCACAGGCGCTGAGAACCCTGGAAACAGCGAACTGCATCTTGGCTCATGATGGTTTGATGCGGACGCAGTGAACACGATATGTGTGGAACCTGTCAGCCATACAAAACACAGGTTCTGCATGCATGTGGCGAGAGTACGCACGTGCTCAAATGCGCATGTGCTTGCCTTCGTGCCTATGTGGCTTTGTGTGGTTGTGCGCAGGACACACTGCCGCTGATTAAATAATTTGTCAGGCTTGTTTTGGTGATGCCTATCGCTTGCTAGATCTCATGAGGGAACGCCCCCTGCCCATTGTGGTTTCCTAGACCTCCTAAAACTCAGTTGATTCGCTGGTTCTCCACTTCAGCCGTTGCTTGCAGAGGCTGTGGTACGTCTGGGAGACCAGCCGTGGACGCCATGTGCCCGACGAGGATGTGGTGGCTGACGCCGTTTGGCTGCCACAGGCCCGGCGCCGGGCCCGAGGTTGTCGGTTTCGGCAGGGGCTTCTCTGACTCCTGCTTTCCTTCATTCACAAGGACATGGCCTGTCTTTGTTTGTTTGTTTGTTTGTTTGCTTGCTTGCTTGCTTGCTTGTTTGTTGTTGTTTTTTCGTGTTGTTTCTCTTACCTTCTGGTGCTAGAAGGTCAGGCAGGGAAAGTATGATATGGCGTCATGTTACCTGCATCGCGGTCTCGCTCCTGGTCGCGAGCCATCAGTTTTGTGGGCTGAAAGAGAACCCAAAAGACTATGAGTGTCTGGCCGGATTTTCTTTGATTGGGAGGTGAAAGAGAAACTACAAGACTCTGGGCCCCGTGGTTTCCCCAACTGCGATGGGGTCTTTGCCCAGTCTCCGGAGTCCGGAGCGGCTCTCCGCGCTAGGGTTGTGAAGGGTTTGGGGGGGGGGAGGGGGGTCCAGTACCTCCCCTTGCATGAAATCGGTTGAAGGCTGGTCTTTGGAGCTTGGTGGTTTCAGGCCAAGCTCGCAGGTAGAAGGCCCATGCTGGGGCTTCTTGAGGTACGACACTGGCTGGAACGGAGCTGGAGGGTTGGAGAAGGGAGAGGCTCTTTGATCAGGAAACGCTCTCCAATGGACGGTGAGGTTTTTCTTTAGAACCTCTACAAAGAATCCTTTCCCCAAGCAAGGCTCCTGTTCCCTGCAGAGCGCCGCGTCCTGTTCGCGTCAGGTGGATTGGTCCAAAGTGCCAGGCATTGGCGATTAACCGATCCGAAGGCGGGGCGGGTCCGTCCAGATGTGGAGAGGCTGAGCCTCTTCACAGAATGCTTCTCATTCTTGGTTAGCAGAAGTGCCCATCTACTCGGTCAAGATGCAAGGAGTTTCCTTTGGCATGCAAGATTGTCCTCTGTTATGCGTTTAGAGCAATGACCACGTAACCCAGTTCGAGAATGTGAAATCTGGCTCCTCACCATAAGCACGGGGATTGCGAGACAGCTACGTTGGAGCAAGGGCCGTTTAGGGTTGAGGAGTTGCACAGGCCGTCTCCCCGAAAGACGACTTTCGCGGTTTTTCGGGCTTGCGGACTTCGGGCCCAAACCCCTCTTGGCGGGGAAGATACGGATGTTCTTTTGTCAGGTACGGGGCCATGACGGGACCCTTTGATGGACACCACTTTGGCTGGGATAGAAAGGTCCAGCATCCACTTTTCGAGCTCAGGCAAAACATGCCGTCCGTGCAACAGGCCTTGGGAACCTTGCCCGAAATCTTTCGCTAAAAACCAGGCGGCGCCGCCTTGAGAGCCAATTCCGCGAGCTCGCGTGGAGAATTTCCAGAGATTTGGAGAAGGAACCACCTGAAAAGTGGGTGGTGGAGAGGAATCCCCACCTATGATGTCCAAAGGGTCCCAGAATTAGAGCTCATGACCACTTTCGTTTGCCATTTGATATCAGTGCAGCGGTATTTGTTTAAAGATATGATTGCGGCCCTTGAAAGAGAAAGGACAGATCTTGGCTGCCAAGCTGTTGCTTGAAACATCGTTTTGCCAATCGGAAGTAGAGCAAAGAAGTCCGGCGTTAAACAATGGCATCGCAAAGCAAGTTCGGCCTTTTGCCAGCACCCGGCTGGACACATGAGGGGGCACTTGGGAGTCTTGATTCATTTAGGTGCATTCCAAAATATGGGACCCCATTGTCTTGGTAGTTTTCTCGTCAGTTTCCCTCCGCCCCAAAATTGGTGCCTCAAGAAACACCCACCGATGTTGACTTCTGCATTCTCAGTGTAGGGTTGCTCAAAACCAGCTGGCGGACTTTACGCTCGATGTATGCAGCACCTGCCGGCTTTCGGCCGTGAGCGGCCAACCGGCTGGGCAATTCGATGGGGGTCATGCCCTGCTGTCGAACTTTGAGGCGGAAGACCGGTTTATTCCCGTGTCTGTCTTTTGGTGGAGCATGTTGGGGGCATCCTTTTTCGGTGGCGTTAAAGGGAAGAAGAGGCACACCACCATTATGAGGGCCGCCTAAACAAAGCCAGACCCTTCTGTTCGGTTCTTCTTGGGAGGTTACTTGCTGGAAGCTCACCTGGAACCCAAACGACATAATCATTTGCCTGCAAAGCTTCCTGCAACATCCGCACGACTTTTGTTGGCACATTGCCTTGGCAATCTTGATTGTTCGCTCGTTTCCAAGGTTGACTACCTGCACACACACACACACACACAACATTCACACACCTGAGAGGACTGGCTTGGACACATCCCAACAGGGTCAAGGTTCGACACACCCCGGGACTGTCTTTCATCGTTGCATTGACTCGACAAGATCGAACATAGAACATGGAGCTTGATCAAAATAGACAAACATGCTGGGTCTAGGGTTGCACGTTGACCAGGCGCGGACTCAACAAACCGATGGCAGGGCTTTGGCGGGTTTTTGCCAGTTGCAGCTTCGAGCGCCTGGAAGGTTGAGCCATAGTTTGACGACTTCCGACATGGGACTGTATCCAAACATACGGGTGTGTGTCTTGTGGGTGAGGGTGCCTCTCTTCTTGCGGTTTTGCAAGCAAACCAACAGGAAACCACAAGCCATTTTGGGGGTTCCCTAGAAAAGACACCCCCACCGAAGATGCGCTTCGATGCAGGAGAAACCCAGTTCAGCTGGCACGAACTGGATTTTGTGCATGCAGCACTCCTCCTTTTGGTCTCTTGGAGTTTGGCCGACACCAGTAAAGCAAACTTCACCAGTCTCGATCAGAATCTGGTGAGTGTCCCTGAGTGGATGCGTGAGTCATCAATCTTACCAGGGCAATCCAAGCCGAGTAAATGAAGGGTTTGCAACAGCCCAGGCTGTAGCTCTGACCACTTCGATTGACTTCTGCGGCCTGACCATCTGCTTCTTACCTCACCCGATCTCATAGCTCATCACTCTGGGCGCTTGTGCTGCACTCGTGAATACCGCGGACAATGCCGAAGACTTGGGCCCCAAAACGAGGCCAGAGATGAGAGGCGAAGGTTCAGCGGCAGTATTTCTGCAACCTTACGGACATCTAGCGGCAGCGGGTGGTTTTCAACAGAGCCTGCGTCTTTCTGGTTGGCTGGTTCAAAGGAAGGCCAAGAGGAAACCAATCAAGTTGGGGGATTTCCAGATTTTGATTCGCAAACGATGGCTTTCTTCGGCTTGAGCGCAAGATGGGGAACGAGAGATTCCACCAAAGTGAGCTTCATGTTTCTCTTTTTCTCTTATTTTTTTTTTATATCGAGGAGGATGGCAAGTAATTAGAGCAGTGGGGATTTCATGGCGGTTCCACTCCGTTTGTCATGCAGGTCAACGTGCAATGTGCTCAACTTTTGTCATCGTCAAACACCACAGCTTGGGTGTGCACTAGGGGCACCACAGAAAGAGGCTTCTCAAAATAGTGGTCCCCTAAAGTGCAGTGGATCTGGCAATGGTTTTACTTACCAAGCAAAGGATGGTGGGTCCACCGTTTTGGACGAGCGCGCCGACATCTCAGCTGGGCATCTGATGGGGGCTATCGGGCGAGTGCAGTCTGCAGCTTGTTTTGGACCCAACCAAACCCAGGGTGGAGGTCGGCAAAATTCCGCAACCAATTCAGGGGACACAACCCGGCTTGATGTTCATACTTGCTTTTGGTTTGTAGGCGAACCCCGGAAAATGGTGGTCCAACCCCCAAAAACCGGCTGCCAAGAATCAACAAGATCGGCCGGGCCACGCACTCACGATCCCCACGTTAGCTGGGCATGTGTCAGAATAGGAGACCTCAGACATGGTGACTTAAAGATGTTGGTTTCCCAAAAGGGGAAACGGCCCCCCTCAGAAAGAGGAAGAGGGGTAACCTTTCCTCAAACACAATGGTGTTGCATCTGCATCTATCGCATCTGTAGCTCAAAGTAATGGGAAGAGGCTGAAAGCCATGGGGGCGTGGGTTTCCTCTTCACTAAGGTAACCAGACAAAACATGGAGAGTTGCTCAAGTAGACCCAGAAGAAATATGTGAGTCCCCGAACGAAGCATAGCAAATTCCTCGCAGATTGCTCCAGCCTGCTTATCACGCTTCGTGCGTGGAATTCGCGACTCAGACCATCTCATTGCACTCGCGCCAAGCGCAGAAGCGTCAAAAGGAGGGGAGAGAGGGACAGAGAGCGTGCTTGTTGGTTTGGTCCGGGTTGCTGGTTTTGAATGGTTTGTTTGTTTTGCTTTTTGTTGGTTAGTTTGTCAATCAGTTAGTTAGGTAGTCAGTCAGTTGTTTCCCGATTGTTTGTTGGTTTGGTTTCGCTTTTTTTGTTTTTGGTTTGGTTTGCTCAGGTTAGTTCAGTTTAGTTTAGATTGTGCTTCTGGTTTGTTTGGTATGTTTTTCGTATTGTCTTGTTTGGTATGCTTTTTCGTATTGTCTTGTTTGTTTGTTGGTTTGTTTGTTGGTTTGTTTGTTTGGTTGTTGCCTGTCTGCTTTTTGGCCGTTTGCTTTTGTTTGCTTTTGTTTGTTTGTTTGTTTGTTTGTTTGTTTGTTTGTTTGTTTGTTTGTTTAGTTCAATTTAGTTTAGTTTTGTTCTTGTTTTCTGTTTGTGTTTTGTTTCTTTTAGTTGGTTTGTTTTGGTTTGTGTGTGCGCTTTTGGTTTGTGTGCATGCGTGTGACAAGCTTTGTACCCTTTGGGAGAGTTTCGAAAGGACATCACTATGAGCAAATCAGTCGGTGTGACAGGGAACAGAGCGGGGCATGACGCTCATGGGGATGAACCGAGCTAGAAATTGATGGCTAAATGTCGAGGCGGGTATAGCTTTCCGGTTGCATTCTTTTTGTCAACCGCAGGGTAGGCGTTCGCGCGAACTGGGAACATTTGAGAAAGAACCTTTTGGGATTCACTTGCTGTCTGGCCTCCCGTCCAGCGGGCTGAAGGCAGGCATCTTTGCCCAATCTGAGTGCCTTGGTCTCAATCAACCACGCATGATCATTGGTATTGGACATGTTGCTCACGCCAATTCAAGTTTCTTGCGCTCAGTGCTTGGGTGCGTTCCCTTTTATCCTTTCATACCTGTGCTGAGTTTGCC